CATGTCTTCCTCCAGGGGATCTTCCCAACCCAGCGATTGAACCTGTGTCTCTTAGGTCTCCTGCATTGGCAGGCAGGTTCTTCACCACTAGCACCACCTGGGAAGCCCTGTTAAGCACATATAAACTGAATGCAAAGTATCAACCTTAACCTGGATTCTAATTAGAACAAAATCAAGGAAATTTGAATGAAAGTTGGGTATTAGATGACATTAGGGAATTATTGCTTAATTTATTAGGTATCATAGTGATATTATAGATCTTTTAAAACTTATTTGTTAAATATGTTAAAGGTGCCAAAGCATTTATGAGTATGAAAAGATATGACACCTGGCATTTTGCTCTAAAACACTTTAAAATATATCAGGAGGGACATAGGTAAGGTGTTTATTCACAAACTGATCCTTGTATACAGAGGCAGACCACTCCAGACTGGCAGGTGGCAGGTTTAATAAACAAGGGAAGTTACTTACAAGGGCTTGTCTTTGGTGGCCAAGGACAGGCAGATCTCCACATCACATTCCAAGTTACAGGGTGTAACTGAGTGGAACCCTATGGGGCCTTCCCAGGACAGGCCCTTCCCGCATAGCCTCTGCTTCAGCTCCTCTCTGAAGTACTGACACCTAGATAACACTATCTAATGCAGGTTCTGGGGCTTTCCAGATGGCCCTAGTGGTAAAGAACCCACCTGCCAATGCAAGAGACATAAGAGACGTGAGTTCGATCCCTGGGTTGGGAAGATCCCCTGCAGGAGGACATGGCAACCCACTCTAGTGTTCTTGCTTGAAGAATTCCATGGACAGAGAAGCCTGGTGGGCTACAGTCCATGGGATCACAGAGTTGGACACTACTGAAGCATCTTAGACCACACACATGCAGACAAACACCTTCCTGAGTTGTCTTTTACAGATGTGGAAACTCCTCACCAAGTGGAGGATGGTAAGTACTTGATCATCATGAGCACACAGCGCCCAGACCTACTGGCACCCAAGGACTGACACCACCCTGTTCCTTACCATCAAACAGGGAATTGTGCACAGGTTGATCACATAAGCTTCAGACAACACCCCACACCCACCTGCCTTTAAAAATGCTTTGCTGAAACCCTTTGGGGATTTCGAATTTTGGGGGGACGTGAGCCATCTGTCTTCTTGCATGGCCCTGCAACAAACCTTTCTCTGTTCCAAACGCCAACATGTTGTTTTGCTAGGACTCACTGTGTGCCTGGTGCAGGAACTTGTGCTGACAAGGGAGACGGTGAGTAGTCTTCAGGCCAGCAGAACAGGCATTATAAATAAAAATTCTCAGTCCCTTCCCAGACTTTCTAAATCACAAGCTCTGAGGATGGGGCCAACACTGTTTTAACAAGTCCTCTAGGTGATTTTAATGTATATTAAAATTAAAAAACGATTGTCCTAGAGAAACTTTTTTTAAGGATATATATATGACTTCCTTTGTGGCTCAGTGATAAAAAAATCCGCCTGTCAATGCAGGAGACGTGGGGTTGATCCCTGGGTTGGGAAGATCCGCTGGAGAAGGAAATGGCAACCCACTCCAATATTTTTGCCTGGGAAATCCCATGACAGAGAGGCCTGGCAGGCTATAGTCCATGGGGTTGAAAAAGGTCAGACATGACTTCAAGACTAAACAACAACAATATATGTATTTATATATTTATATTTTATTTATAGGTTTATTGATATATAACTTACATTTGATAAAATTGCTTTAAGTGTCCCCTCGGGAAACATTTGCACCAGGAGAGATGTACGTTGGCTATTCCCCATTCTTTCCTTTCCTGAGAGCTTTTCAATTGTAGGGCATCCTTGGTGGCTCAGGAAGTAGAGTTTGCCTGCGGTGCGGGAGACCCAGGTTCGATTCGCAGGTTGGGAAGATCCCCTGGAGAAGGAAAGGGCAACCCATTCCCATTATTCTATCATCCTAGCTATTATATAGGATATTCTGGGACAGTGAGAAGTGACTCTCTTGTCCTTTAGCTATTGACTGCCAAACCTTTAAGAATGAATGACAGTGGGAATTCCCTGGTAGTCCAGTGTTAGGGCTCTGCGCTTCCACTGCAGGGGGTATGGATTGTATACCTAGTCAGGGAACTAAAATGCTGCATGACATGTGGCATGTCCAAAAAACTCCAAAAAAACAACAAAAAAAGAACGCATGACAGAGAAGACTTCAAATCAGTTTCAGTAGTTGGCTGAGACTTTGGGGTTGCCTTCCTTAGGGGTCTGATGAATACATTTAATGTAAAATGCCTGCATCTGGGAGAAGGGGGTGCATGGGTATTAAGCAATTCAAGGGGTGAGCTGGGCAGATTCTATAGATTGACTAACCAAACACACTTTTCTAGAAAATTCTCTTCGTGACCACCTCATCACAGACCCTGGGAAACAATAGTTCTGGATTTGCTTTCCCAGCCTCCTTTATACACGAGGGATAGCCATGTGAATAGGTCTGATCAATACTACATAAGTGAAAAATGTTTAGAGGGGCTTCCGGGAAATCTCTTTCTTACGTGATAAAAGGAATGTCAGATATTGGTTCCCTCCTTTCTTTCTTCTTTGAATTTGGATATAATTTCAGGAGTTCTTGCAGCTATGGGGAAAATGCCCTGAGCAAATGCCAGCAATCATTTACTCCCAAAATTCTTCAGAGTAACAAAGACAAAAACCCTATGTTTAATTAAGCCTCTGTTATTCTGCTATTTTCAGAAGAAACTTATATTAACTTCTGCTGCTGCTGCTGCTGCTAAGTCGCTTCAGTCGTGTCCAACTCTGTGCGACCCCATAGACGGCAGCCCACCAGGCTACCCCATCCCTAGGATTCTCCAGGCAAGGACACTGGAGTGGGTTGCCATTTCCTTCTCCAATGCATGAAAGTGAAAAGTGGAAGTGAAGTTGCTCAGTAGTGTCCAACTCTTAGCAACCCCATGGACTGCAGCCTACCAGGCTCCTCTGTCCATGGGATTTTCCAGGCAAGAGTACTGGAGTGGGGTGCCATTGACTTCTCCAATATTAACTTATACATCACTGCAAAATGCTGATATTTCCTATCTTATTTTATGAGAACTAAATATGTAAAATGTCTGATACTTGCCAAGGCAAGCTTCTCTCTCTCATGTCCCTCTGTCCATCTTATTTCCTGGATCAATGTAGATACCTTTGGGGATAAACTATAGTTCAATTATACTCTAAAAAAAATTAAAGCAGATGTCAAAACCATATATGATATTCTAATTAGCAAAGGTGTCAGTTTTCTCCAAGGATAGGATAATATTTGGCATTTTGTTCTGTAGTTTTGTCATTCCTAATATTTTTGTTGACTTCTTTGATCAGAGAGTTTACTGCTCCAGCAGCTTCCTGTAAGGGTCCACAATTGCACTAAGCCTATTTTAATTGTTTTCCTCTAGATGCATTAAATATTGGAGAAGGAAATGGCAACCCACTCCAGTGTTCTTGCCTGGAGAATCCCATGGATGGGGAAGCCTGGTGGGCTTCCCTCTATGGGTCACACAGAGTCAGACACGACTGAAGTGACTTAGCAGCAGCAGCAGCAGCAGATGCATTAAATTGTACTTAACTACGCAGACACTCCCTTCCCACTTTTTCTGTAAATTCACTAGCCTAGCACTTTATGTTATTTGTCTTTGATAGTTTAGCTGCTGCCTAAAAGCAGAGCTAGGAGTTCAAAATAAGATAAAAGGCAGCAGCAGCTCATAGGTGTGTTGAGCAGTGCTCTTTCCCCTAAAATAGCCCCATTTCAGGATCACTCCTTGACCTGAGTGTTGAAAGCTTTTTAACTTTAAAATGTGTTTATAATATGCAAATGTGGCTGGGAGAGATTTCAGAGTTTATTGGTTAAGATTGAGTTGGGAGCTAACACTGATAGAAGGGTTATTAACAAAGAGTAGTGAGGGTGTCATTGTTGGGATTGAGACCCACCAATGGCTCTCAAAAATAAAATACTTTAAATAAAGTATTGTAGTTCAACAATTTTTTTTTTTAAACTGTGGATTTTCCCTCCCATACAATTTATAGAAGGTGCTCAACCTGATCTCTGGGCTTCCCTGGTAGCTCAGCTGATAAAGAATCCGTCTGCAACGCGGAAGACCTCGGCTCAATCCCTGGGTTGGAAAGATCCCCTGGAGAAGGGAATGGCTACCCACTCCAGTATTCTGGCCTGGAGAATTCCATGGGGTCGCAAAGAGTCGGAGAAGACTGGGCGACTTTCACTTTCGCTTTCAACCTGATCTCTAGGGAGCCTCAGAGTTTGACTCCTGAATAATAATGGATTTCCTACCTCTTTCCCAGGCAACTAAACCAAATTCTGGACGTATTACCAATCGCTGGTAATTCAACTTTAAAATGGATTTTATGGAGAATATTTCCAAAGGTTTTTGTTTTTGTTTTAATCCCAACTAGTCTCTCCTGTTACCCCTTAAATCTGCTACTCACTTTTTTTGAAGGACATGTTGCTATAGTGACACTCAAACTAAACACAGACACTCAAGACTATCTGATTTTCTACGTCACAGTGTTTTTAATGCTAAATCTGAAAACACAGCTGGCAATTCGAGCTCTCAAACTATCCAAAACCTTCTCAGAACCAGCGAAACGTGCTGCACAAAGAAATACGCCCATTCTGTGCATTCATTACATTCAAAACGCTGCACTCCGTCGTCACTCATTTTATTTACTACAAGGAGACCTGTCAGACCAGGAAGGAGACGGGCAAGGTTTGCGGAGGCCGGTAAACCGCATGCCTACAGCAGCAGGGTTCAGCGGGAAAAGCGATTTCTAGCGCCGGGAGTGGCCAGCCAGGTGGAAGCGCGAGCTCTGCGCGGTCACCGCGGTCGTCCTGCCGGGCCAATAGCGGAGCGGGCGAGAAGGGGCGCGGCCGGCCGGGGCGGGGCAGGTTTTGGCTGCTCCGGGCTCGGCTCACGTGCGCAGGGCGGCTGGAGCCGGCGCCTCCCGGTTCCCCGCCCGCCATGGAGCGGCTGACGTTACCTCCGGGTGGCGCGGCGGCAGTGGACGACTACTTGGAGTACCGGAGGTGAGGCAACGCCTCTGGGGAGCCAGGAGGCCGGTCCGATCCCCTTCGCGGGAGGAGTGCTGGAGGCGCGGACAGGGGACCGGCGCTGGGTGGCCTTGGCTCCCGGAATCCCGTTCCCGGGCTGGTGGAGGTGGTTCACTTTGATTGCAGGTTTCCTGTTTCTAGTATGGTGATGACACGCAGTTCTAGTCTAATAAGTCTCTTCCGAGGCAATTTAAAAGATCTCCGGCTCTGATCCCTTTGAGAAAGGATTATTAACTCCAGATTTATGCAAAGGTCCATTGTTCTTTTCTTAACTGCCGTTGTAGATCGCACGTTGAGTACACCTGGCCTGTAAAGCAGACATCAGGTTTGCATGTTCACTTTGTAATAGGGTGGGACGTGAACTTCCAAACGTGCCCCCGACCACGAGATGCTGGTTTTAGGAGAAAGACTTTGGTTCTAGAGAAACTCTTATCCGGGGACTGGAAGCGTAGCCGCCGCTAGGGCTTTCGGTAATGACTCACTGCCTGGAGCCCTGACAAAGGCTGGTGTACCTGCAAGAATGTTTTTTGTTTTTTTTTTTTTAAGGTCTTCCAAGAAAGGTTTTTGACAGTTGGGAAACTGGGTGAGAGGCAGGTGTGTGTGTGTGTAAAGGGGAAGTCAGATGATCACTGCCTCTTTGGGAAACAGGTGCAGCCTGAAACCTGAGCCACAGGGGTTGCTCCATCTAAAGGTGGTCCCCCCAGATCCCTTGGGTAAAGAAAGGGGTTGCTGTCTGACTGCACTTCCCTCGGACTGTCTAGGTGGTATACTTCTGAGTGACGTCTAGAAATATCTAGTAATTCTGAGCCAGAAAAAGTGAGGATGAGAAGCTTGGTGGGTCAGGTCCCATTCCCGGTTAGGTTCACGTAAGGACAGCAGTCTGGAACAGCTTCTACCCAGAGCTTACCTAGGGCAGAGCTGCTCCTTTCGCCTCCAGTTCTCCAGGCCTTTTCCCTAGGAGCACTATGCTAGGTCCTGATGTTGACTGGACACCTTAGGTTCTTAGATGTTTAGGTATGTGGAATGTGGGCCGTCAGTTTTAGTCTCACGCCTGGCCTATGAAATGTTGGGGCCTGGGGGGAAATTATTTTTCAGACATAAACTACTTTAAATAGTTGTCTGTAGAAGTTAGAGCCTTGCTACTCATAGTGTAGCCATCATGGACCAGCAGTGTAAGCATCGTTGGGGAGCATCACCAGGCCCATTGAGACATTAATCTGAATCTGCATTTGAACTAGATCTCTTTATTTCCTAAGAAATAGCAGTAGCTTAATTTTTCCTATAAAATTTTGAGGTCTTGCTTCCAGAATTAGAAAATGATATGCCTGATTACTCAATGCATATGTTAGGTATGAAGTGGTGCAGATCTAAGGGTGTTTGTGGGTTCTATCTTAGTTTAAACTTCTGGCCGGGGTTTGAAGTCAGGTATGGACATTAATCCTGTTGTCTTCAGCATGGATGTTTTTTGTGCTATTTTGTTTTGGGGGCAAAGTATAGTTAAAGGAGGAAAATATTAGAATTTTTAGCAGTTTAGTCTCCAACTTTTAATGTGAAAAATGAGCATGTTTACTTCAGAATCAAAGGAGAAATTGAGATGAATATGTGGTAATTCTCCAGTGATAAACTTGGATCTGTGAAGTCAGATGTTATGAATTCATTGACTTTATTATTTATAATCCTTTTTCATATGGGAAGTAAAAGCTTTATTACTATTGTGTGTAATTTTGCTATTAACATGAGCCTAATGTATCAAAATAAAGCCAAAGCAGTCTTCTGACTATACATTTGACTATACAAGTATAGTTTAATTTTAGAGTTTATTATTTTTAACCCAGAAAAGAAATACACATGGCTTAAGAGAAGTATCTTTTGTTGTAGAATTGTTGGTGAGGATGATGGAGGGAAACTTTTTACTCCTGAGGAATATGAAGAATACAAAAGAAAAGTCTTACCTATGCGTTTACAGAACAGATTATATGTGAGTTGGCGATCACCCACAGGAATGGATTGTAAACTTGTGGGTCCAGAGACACTGTGTTTTTGTACACATAGGTAAGATACTTTATTGCTAAGTTTTCTGGTGATTAGGAAATATAAAACTGTAGCAGGGCATATCTTCCTTCTATATATAACATTATTGATGATAATTGAGAAACATTTGAAAACAGGTGTTTATATAATATGCCAGAAAGTATGTAAGGTTTTTGAGGGCTATATTTTACATTTTTTCTGTTGTATCCCGTTAGAACTCATTATGGAGTCCCATCACCTTAAGCATCTTTCCTCTTACCATTGATAAGAAAGATACTGGGGCCTCCCGGCTTTGCCGGGGGTGTTTTGGTCACTCTGCTTCTCCCACTGCTGGACAAGGTAGTAGAGAATGGGTCATCAGATTGCAGAGCTGATATTATTTTATTTATTTTTGTCAAATGTGTTTTAAAATTTGTTTTTATGGGAGTATCGTTGCTTTACAATATTGTGTTAGTTTCTGAAAAGTGATAGTCGCTCTGTTGTGTCCGACTCTTTGCAACCCCATGGACTGTAGCCCGTCAGACTCCTCTGTTCATGGGATTCTCCAGGCGAGAATACTGGAGTGGGTTGCCATTCCCTTCTTCAGGGGACCTTCCCGACCCAGGGCTCGAAGCCAGGTCTCCTGCTTTGTTGGCGGATTCGTTACTGTCCGAGCCCCCAGTGAAGCCCATTTTAGTTTCTGCTATGCAGCAAAGTAAATCAGGATATCTGTATATCCTCTCTTTTTTTGGATTTCCTTCCCATTTACGTCACTGTAGAGTACTGAGTAGTGTTCCCTAAACTTATTTTAAAGTTGCTTGAGCTGATCCACACTAAAAAGTTTACCAATCTACAGGTAGAAGCATTTTTCCTCACATTTACTAGTCTCTTTTTATATGTTAAGAAATATTTTGTATGAATACCTTTCTCTTTTATTTATACACACACACACACAGAGGACCGGTTCCAGGACCCACTGTGGATACCAAAATCTGGGGATGCTCATAGCTGGGCCCTCCTGTTTGCAGATGTGGATTCAGCCAACCTTGGATCATAAACATGATCCTTGGGGAACACGATATGTAGTTAGTTTAAGCACAGATGTGGAACCCATAAACACTGAGGGCCTACTGTGTTTTTATTGAAAAAAAAAAAATCTACACTTTAAACCCATATTGTTCAAGGGTCAGTGCTGTGTGTGTGTGTATGTATGTGTATATACCTTTCTGTAAACAAAAATACAAGCACACAAGAAAAGGAAAAGCATGAGCCTGTAGCCATTGATGTGTTTTACCTGCACTTGAGATTTGCATTTGGCTGTGTTTGTCATTTTCTACTTTAAATTTTATCACTGCTACAGATCGTAGTTGTAAAGCCAAAAGGACAAAGCTACTTCTTGGAAAAATCACAGAAACTATTGCATGGTTTTAGGTAAAAACTTTAGCTTTCTATTCCAGAGGAGCCATGGGAGAACCTTCCTGTTCTGATCGTTTCTGGGGCTCTTTCTGACATAGTCTTTGTGCAGTTGCTGTTTACACACTTAAGATTTGCCAGAGGTTGTTAGGCAGTTGCTAGGATGAGTAATGTTGTGTGTAGATTGACTTGAAATTTATTTAGCAACCCCAACTAAAAACACTGGAGGAACAGAGGATGAGGGTTATGTTGATATTGTTCAGAATTGAAGAGAGCTTTGGTAAACTCCCACTGAAGTGAAAGTGGTAAAGAATCCACCTTCAATGCAGGAGGCCCGGGTTTGATCCCTGTGTTGGGAAGATCCCCTGGAAAAGGGAATAGCTACCCACTCCAGTATTCTTGCCTGGAGAATTCCATGGACAGAAGAGCCTGGTGGGCTACAGTCCGTGGGGTCGCAAAAAGTTGGACATGACTGAGAGACTTTCTGGTAAACTTATGTTAGTTTTATCATTTATCCTTGTAAATGTTTAGTGCCAGTCTTATATGTATGTATAATGGTACAGCATAGAATTGACCTTCAAAATTGACCCAACCCCACTTGGATGGAAAAAGTTCTTTAGTACCAGTTGCTCAGTGAGACTTCTGTCTAAATTAATTTTCCCTTGTTATAAAAGTGAAACTTGGGAGGTGGGAGGGAGGTTCAAGTGGAAGGGGACATATGGATATATATGGCTGATTCATGCTTATATATGGCAGAAACCAGCACAGTATTGTAAAGCAATTATCCTCCAATTAAAAATAAATATTTTTTAAAAAGTATAATAGAAAAGTGAAAACATTGGAAATATTGAAATGAAGAATATAAAGAAATGTAGAAAGAAGACACCACCTAAAGCCAGATGCTGTTAAGAAGTTTTAACATGTGTATGTACTTTTTTATTTACATAATTCAATTCAGTTTAGTTCAGTTCAGTTGCTCACTTGTGTCTGACTCTTTGCGACCCCATGGACTGCAGCACACCAGGCCTCCCTGTCCATCACCAACTCCTGGAGTCTACTCAAACTCATGTCCATTGAGTTGGTGATGCCATCCAACCATCCCATCCTTTGTCATCCCCTTCTCCTCCTGGCTTCAATCTTTCCCAGTATCAGGGTCTTTTCAAATGAGTCACTTCTTTGCATCAGATGGCCAAAGTATTGGAGTTTCAGCTTCAACATCAGTCCTTCCAATGGATATTCAGGACTGATTTCCTTTAGGATGGACTGGTTGGATCTCCTTGCAGTCCAAGGGACTCTAAAGAGTCTTCCCCAACGCCATGGTTCAAAAGCATCAATTCTTCTGAGCTCAGCTTTCTTTATAGTCCAACTCTCACATCCATACATGACTACTGGAAAAACCATAGCTTTGACTAGACAGACCTTTGTCAGCAAAGTAATGTCTCTGCTTTTTAATATGCTGTCTAGGTTGGTCATAACTTTTCTTCCAAGGAGCAAAGGTCTTTTAATTTTATGGCTGCAATCACCATCTGCAGTGATTTTGGAACCCAAGAAAAAAAGTCTGTCACTGTTTCCCCTATCTATGTGCCATGAAGTGATGGGACCAGATGCCATGATCTTAGTTTTCTGAATGTTGAGTCTTAAGCCAACTTTTTCACTCTCCTCTTTCACTTTCATCAAGAGGCTCTTTAGTTCTTCTTCACTTTCTGTCATAAGGGTGGTGTCACCTACATATCTGAGGTTATTGATATTTCTCCTGGCAATCTTGATTCCAGCTTGCACTTCATCGAGTCCAGCATTTCTCATGATGTACTCTGCATATAAATTAAATAAGCAGGGTGCCAATATACAGCCTTAGTTGTTAATTATACATGTGTATAAATATTGAACCAGTTATTCATGACAGAATCATGGAAATGTTTCTGCACTGTAATAGTAGTTGCACACAAGATTTTTAATACCTACTTGATACACCGGCTAATCCAGTTGTGTTCACCATGTTTTCCCCAGAGAATTCTCACAGAATCTCAGGGGCTCACCAGGTGGAGGGGCAGCTAAGGGGAAGGACAGACTCCACTTATGGCTCTTCCCCTAGTGTTAGCCAATTCTGTGTTTATCTATTTTATATGGTATTATGGTCCGTAAAAGATTTTATTTGAAGAAAAGTTTTCACTGTTAGAGTTAGAAAACTGTTTTCTTGTACTATACTTATCCATTCCTTTATTATTATTTTGTGTTGTGTACATCACTATTTAAAGTACTGTTGCTAATACTACCCCTATGCACAGAGCTCTTTATATACATGGAGTAATTTTCTTAGGGTTTATTTTTTTCAAAAATGAGCCATCTGGCTTAATGGATGGATCTTTTTCTGTTTCTTGAAACCCTGTTAAATGGGATTAGTTCTTTTATAACACTCTTGACAGGGTGAAATATGTACAGTTTAAAAAAAAAAAATTTGACTCTCTTTGCTAAGTGAAAATGGTATCTTATTGTTATTTTAACTTCTGTTACCTAGTATAATATTGACAGTAATAAATTTAATATAATTTTACTGAGTATCATCTAATGAGAAGGAAGCCAGTGGTCTGAGAAAATTACATACAGCATTTTAGCAAAGAGTTTTGGCTTTTATAGGTGTTTATAATTTATTTTGAAGTTTAAAGTATGTTAAAATAAATTAATTAATATGTGTTTATTGAACTTATTTCAATTTTAAATAGCAGACCTGTGAAAATAAATGTAAATCATGCACTTTGGTAAAGAGAATTTCATGAACTTTTCTTCATACTAGTGGGTTGTGTTTTGATATTAAAGAATCAATAATAGTATTTTAAGAGAATTATATATGCTATATCTTTGTATGTTGCTGTGAAAATTCTCCTTGATTAAAAATCTAGATGGGTGAAGATTTTCTCTGACCAAAGCAACGTAACTGACAAGTAATCCTTTTCAGGGGAGTGTATTTACACCTTACTAACAAGAACAATGAACAAAAAATAAAAATGAGAAAGAATCATTTTACCTGTAAGAGAATCCCAGTTGTAATTTCTGGCAGTACCTGCATTGTGCTATTATTTCGTCCCTTTCATTTCTTTCAGGTACAAGCAACATAAAACTGACTTTGAAACGATTCCTCCGCAGCGCCCCATCAGTCTGCCTTGCCAAGTGAGGGGCTGCCCTTGCAGGACTTACCTCTATGTGCCTCTGAACGGCACACAGCCCATTCGCTGCCGATGTAAGCACTTTGCCGATCAACACAGTGCAGCGCCTGGCTTTGTATGCAATACCTGTGAGTTACATTATGATAAACATATAAACAGAATGCTTTTATCCTCTTACTGAATGTTTGATGTGTCTCTGTGCCAATTTCATTCAGCTTTAGTGACATTGGATAACTGGGAATAATTTGATGAATACGGACTCTAAAAGTTAGTGGAAAAACTTGGTTGTTCATATGCTTTGTAGTCATCGACCTTAATCTCTAATCTCATGTAATTTGAATAAGGTTAAGTAGTAATAATAGATTTTAAAGAATTACTAGATGTGATCTAATTCAAAATTTCAAATTCTGGATGTTCTACCAACTGAATTCCATTTACAGAATAATCATCCTTAAAAAGGATTTTACAGGTCTAAAAATTTTTTATGATTCACTTGCAGACTATTATGTTACTGCATAAAACACAGTTTGATGGGAAAAACAATGTAGCTTGGTGATTTTAACACTCTGTAGGCAATAGCACCTTATCTCAATCTGGCATGTGCTGTTCTCAGTCCCTTCAGTTGTGTCCGTCTCTTTGCAACATTATGGATTGTAACCTGCTTGGCTCCTCTGTCCATGGCATTCTTCAGGCAAGAATACTGGAGTGGGTTGCCATGCCCTCCTCCAGGGGATCTTCCCAACCCAGGAATCGAACCCCCATCTCCTGCCTTAAAGGCAGATTCTTTATCCACTGAGCTACTGTATCTCAATACCTATACCCAAATCCCAGCCACCATTTCATATGCTCTTTCCCTTGATCATCTTTTTAAAAGCCCTTTGAAATAGGTAGAATACTTTTAAAGTTAGGTCCAGTATTTTTCTTCAGGAGATAGTTTTCCCAGTTGTCTTTGTAGTATCTTGAATTGAAATCTTATGATTAAATAGGTTATAAAACATTTTTATTGACAATGGTAGACATAAATTGTTTCACTAAGTATGGAAGTATTTGAATAAAACTTATTTATTATGTGCCTTGGTTTCTGTATATATTTGTCAAAAGTGTGAATGTTTAAGGGTTTTGTTAATGGTATATTCTGGACTCTTATTTCAATATGGTTTGTATTTTTATATATAGTGATTTCATTAAGATATAAGTAACATGCTAAAAAACTCATATACAGTTGAAGGGTACAGTTCAATGGCTTTTATATTCAAAGTTGTGCACCATCACCACAATAAATTTTAGAATATTTTCATCACCCCAAAAGAAATTTCATATCCATTATCAGTCATTCCTTATTCCTGTTACCCCTCAACTCTAAACAGCCAGTAATCTACTTTCTATCTCTATGGATTTGCCTATTCTAAACATTTCGTGTAAGTGGAATCATAGAGTATGTGGTCATTCCTGACTAGCATTTTTCACTTAGTATAATGTTTTTATGATTCATCCATGGTGTAGCACACATCAGTACTTCTTTCCTTTTTATTGTTAAACAACATTCCACTGCATCCTTTCTGTATCTGTGAGTTGGCCTTCCATTATGGCTTTTATGGGGAATTAACACAGAGACATGTTTCTACATTATTTCTTCACTACTGGATTGTACCCCCCACACCTGCTTTTAACTCAGTATTTGAGGAGAGTGCCTTCATTTCCTAGATCTTCAGTGTTTAGCCCAGTTTCCTTTAGTCCTAGTTGGTTTTTCCAATTTTTGTTGTTGTTGTTGTTGCATACCCCCTTATGCTTTAGCATCTTTTAGGAATAAGAGCAGTGGCTGGAGGAAAGGAGTTCGGGGGTGGAGGTAAGAAGAAGCACTGGCGTCAGAGGACAGTGTATGAAGGATCCAGAATTCAGGCGATTTGGGCCAAGCTCAGTAGTTCAGAGGGCATATAACTGATTACCTATATTTGAAACCATTGAACTCCTTTTACATCTTGATTCAGGTTCTAAGTGTTCGGGATTTCATAGTTGCTTCACTTGTGCTTGTGGTCAGCCTGCATATGCTCATGACACAGTAGTGGAAACTAAGCAAGAAAGACTGGCGCAGGGAAAACCGGTGGGGCAGGATGTTCCTTACGCAGCAATGGGAGGACTGACTGGCTTCAGCTCGCTGGCAGAAGGCTACATGCGATTAGATGACAGTGGAATTGGTAAGTGATGATACATGAACTGTGAGCTTGTCATTTTGCTTTTATGTGTGCTAGCAATACTGAAGCCTTATATTTATTTTGCACTTTAAGTTCTTTATGTTATTTTCAAAAAAATTCTCTCATTTGATTTTTATTTTTTTAAAAAGATTTTATTGTCACTGTGAAATGTTTGATTATTACAGGAAAATTAGAAAACATAAGAGGAAAGATCCTTGTTCATGGTATTTAGATTATCTCAACTCACAGCTCCATTGTTTGTAATAGTAAAATAATATTTGTTTTATTTGATGTGATTCAGTTTACCTGTTACCCTATTGTATGTAAGTTTCACCATTATAACTACCTCATTTTGGAAACATAGGCTTTTGTACATGTGTATATATACACACGCATGTGTGTATGTGTTTTCTGTAATATACAATCACATACATGTATGTTTACATGTATGTACATACATATGTGCTTGCACATATAAAAATTGGAAGGAATATATGGAAAAGTTTGATTGGATATATCTAAAACTATTGAAAGTAGCTGAATCCTTCTGGGGAAAAGAACTATGGTTCCTATCTACTTTAGTTTTTAAAAAACTTTTTATTTTGTATTGGGGTATAGCCTATTAATAATGTTGTGACAGTTTCAGGTGAACTGCAAAGGGACTCAGCCATACATATATGTGTATCCATACTCCCCCAAACTCCCCTCCTGTCAAGGCTGCCATATAACATTGAGCAAAGTTCCATGTGCTATACAGTAGGTCCTTGTTGGTTATCCATCTTAAATAGAGCAGTGTGTCCATGTCCGTCCCAGACTCCCCACCTGTCCCTTCCCCACATCCTTCCCCTTTGCAACCATAAGTTCGTTCTCTTAGGTCTGTGAGTCTGTTTCTGTTTTGTAAGTATCTACTGTAAATACTTCTGTTTATGTGGATTATTTAATAACAAACATTTACTTTTTTTATTATAAAAATTATGTAAACATAAGTGAATATTTTCTTGTTATAAAAGATTAAAATAATAGAGATGAAATACAAATCCCTCTGGAACATTTCTCTTAACCCCAGATTCTTTCCTAGAGGGTAATTTGCTGACATCAGTTGATTTGTATTATTCTTTTTAGCATACATTTTTTTATAGTTTACTATTTTTAACTTAAAAAAATTTTTCAAAGCATTATTATACCAGGACATACAAATCTCTTGTTTTTTGTAACTGCTTCATAGTATTCCACATTTTATGTGTATATATATAAACTGTGCTTAGTTGCTCAGTCGTGTATGACTCTTTGCAACCCCGTGGACTGTAGCCCACCAGGCTCCTCTGTCAGTGGGGATTCTCCAGGGGAGAACACTGGAGTGGGTTGCCATGCCCTCCTCCAGGGGATCTTCCTGACCCAGGGATAGAACCCGGGAGTCCCACATTGCAGGCGGATTCATTACCATCTGAGCCACCAGGGCAAACCCATATATATGTATGTATGTATGTGAATATGTATACACACACACACACATATATATTTGTATATGTGTGTATCAATTTGTATATGTGTGTGTGTGTATATATATATATATATATATATATATACACATAGCAGTTTATCTATGTGTGTATATATATATATACACACACACACAGTAATTTATCTAAACATTTTCCTTGTTCATTGTATTTAGATTATTTCCATTTTATTTATTTATTCATTTTTGCTTTTGAACTTGTTTGTGTACTATGTAAATTTGAGTCTAAGGTAGATGGAGAGAAGTAAAATTCTTGAAGTGTCTGCATATGTGAAATTTTAATACATTCTGTTGAATTGCCCTTCAAAAATGCTGTACTTGTTTATACTTCCTCTAGTGATGTTGTAGTTTACCTATTTCCGAACATTGATACTGATCATTGATGTCATTAACCTTAGTTTTATTGCCAGTCTAATATGTGAAAATGTTGTCATTGTTTCAGTCAGTTGATTTCCCTGGTTATTAGTGAGAGGAGAGTCTCCTTATATTCAGTGGCCACTTTACTTTCTGTGAGTTGTCTGTTCATACACTTCACTCATTTTTATGTTTTATATTTTCTCATTGATTTATAGGAAGTCTTCTTATATATATATATATATATATGCTGTGTACTAATCCTTTGTATTTATTTTGGACATATTTTCTTCCGGTACAGCACTTGTCTTTTGGGATTTTGTTGTGGTTTTACAGTTTTTAAATGTTGGAGGCAGGCCTTACCCTACTCTTATTTTATAAATATGCTCTCCTTCACTTTATTTAGTTTTTTAAAATTCCATTCCAACTTATTTCATTTTATTTTAATGCTTAGTTTTTCTTTTGTTTTTATGTTTAGCTTTCTCTTGTATCTGGAATTTATTTTTTGTGAAAGAGTACGGTGTGTATAACTTCAGTTTTTGTCCAAATTGATGACAAGTTATCCAAAAACATTTTTTCCCAAATAATTTGAAACTTTATCTTTACTATATTCTATCATACTTATTTTATGGCATTGGTTTCTTTATTTTGTGCAAATATTTCATATTTTTAATTATTCTTCTTCATAGTGTGTTTTGATATTTGGTTAAATTCTTTCTGTTTGTGTTCTTTTTTCAAGATTGCCTTGACATATTCATGTATTTTCTTCTCTTGGTTATTTTACAACTAGCTTGTTAAATTCCATAAATAAATTCTTTTCTGTTTTTATGAATACATGATTGTATTAGGCTCATGCGTCTGTTACAGAAAGTCCAATTATCAGTGGCAAACAAAAAATGATGGCAGTGATGTTACTGATAATTATGGCTTTGTACTGCTAGGGTTTGGTCCAGCCTCTTTATGTCTGTTACCTCATTTAATCCTCATAACTATTCTGAGTGAGGTGCTGTTATTAATCCTTTATACAGACAAGGAAAACCAGTGTAGAATAGTAAAACATCTTATTCTGTGTTATTCAACAAGTGGTAGGGTTGAGCTCAACCCAGAAATTGTTCTGGTCTCATTAGTCTGCTTCATCGTTGTCTATGTCTGTGCAACTACTGTATTGTTTCCATAACTACAGCTTTATAATAAATTATTATGTATGACTTCATTTTATTACTTTAGAATTTTCCTGACCTCTTCTTTCCTTTCAGTTTTTTCAAAACTTTGATAATATTTTTTGAAAACATTCTATTATTTTAGTTGAATGTGTAGATTAATATAGGAAAGAAATACTGTTTTAAAATATTGAGTCTTCACATCTTTGTTGTCTTCTGTATAATTACATGGAATTCTCAAGTTATCTTCATAAAAGTCCTACACAATTCTTAATTTTATTTCTAGGTATTTCATCATTTTTTGTAGCTATGATACATGAGTTTTTCCCTTCCTTTGCATTTTCTAGCTGATTGTTTATTTAAAAAAAGGAAGTATTTTATGCAGCTTTTGTCATTATTATTTAATCTTAGAATTTTAAATGTAAGTCTTTAGTTGATTTTGCAAATATTATTGACCCTTGAACAACGGGGTTTTGAACTATGAGGGTCCACTTATATGTGGATTGTTTTCAATAGTAAACACCACAGTACTACGTGATCTGCAGTTGGTTGAATCTGTGAATGTGGAACTGGAGATACAGAAGACTGACTATAAAGTTATATGCAGATTTTGACTGCATGTAAAGGATTAGTACCCTTAACCCTTGCGTAGTTTAAAGGTTAACTGTAATGATAGTTTTGCCTCTTCCTTTCCAATATTTATGACTCTTCTTATTTTTCACTAAACAAAATGGCTGGTATTTTAAGAACATGCTAAGTAATAGTGGTAGTAGCTGACACCTTTGCCTTTTTATGACTATTGGTCTTTTATCACTTAAGCATCCCTATAATAGAGAGAAAAGAAACCTCCCCCTTTTGACTCCTGAGGGATGGCGGGTGTAAAGAGAGGTGAGAAAGAGAAGAGGAAACATATAAGATGATTTTGCCTTGATTTTATATGTAGGGGAGCCTGGAGCAGAGAGAAGTCTACTCTCTTAGCCCTGTATGGTCCTGGGTAGAGAGACCCCGCTGCTGGAATCTGGTTCCTCTGTGAGGCTGAAGGAGGCTGAGACTCCAGCGCACAGAGGGTGCTCGGACGGCCGCAGAGCTGCGAGGCCGCAGGCCTGCCATCGCGTCTGTCCCGGCAGAGGGCGCAGGTGGCGGCAGAGCAGCGCTGCATGAGGGCCTCCTGAGCTCGGGGATCCAGTAGAAGAGGAGGCAGGCATCTGAGGGCTCTGCACTTACCTGCGAGACCGTGAGGCCACCAGGCCCTATCAGGCCGAGATTAAATTCCAGCTTAAGGCCAGCCTTTAGCGCCCGAGGTCACTAGTGCACGTAGTGACCAGAGGGCGCTCAGGGCCCTGGCTGGACCTGAGCCCCCTTGTCTGATCTTCCCACAGGTCACAAGAGGGAGGAGCTGGAAAAGAAGGGAGCAGGAATCTGAAGGCCTGAGCAGTTCTCCCGCACTGTTCGCTTTACAGGAAAGGACTCAGTTTAAAAGCAAATGGGACTAAAAGTTAATTTCCTCCCCTCCCCCGTGGAAGGGGACAGGCATGTGGGGGAAGGGTGAAGTTCATGAAGAAGTAGAGCACTTAACACTTCTCTCTGCAGTTTTCTTCATTTTGGTCCAGAAGGCAGTGTATTTAGCAGTGGGTCTTTGTAGATTGTGGTTTAGGGTTGTGGATGTTTCCTCATTTTATTGAATAAGTTTTCTTTATTTTTGCATTTCTTGTCTTTAGATGGTTTTCCACTGAGGAATGGAGGAAAAATACGTTCATTCAACCCTCTTCAACTAGAGGCTTTTTTTCCTCTGAATGCCTCGCTTTTTATTATGTTTTTTGACTGTGTTAGGGTTTTATACCTCTTTGCTGATGTACAGTTATGTTTTTGTGTAATTTTTTTTCTGTGAAAAAGATCTCTCAAATGCAGAAATGCTTTTACCCACTTGACTACTTTATATGGCAGATAAAAATCTAAAAAAATTTTCTTTTTACAGAAAGGATTTTTCTAATGATTCTACTGGGGTTCTAATTTATCTCACTTTTGAAATAACTTCTTTGTATCCTAACAGAGATTTAATTTTCATTCTTCACATTTTTGTCCTCAGGTGCACCGTCAGCTGAATTTTTAGACTCTCCAGGTACGGCCATGGACCACCCATTTCTAAAGGCATTTCAAGCATCATCTAGCTCTTCTCCAGAAACACTAACAGGTGGTAATGAAATTAAACTGAGAAATATTTTTGGTTTTAGTAAGTAAGAATGTAAATTGATATGTTTTCCAGATTACTGTTTTCCCCCCAATATTACCATAATTTGATTATAATTTTTCTTTCATATTACCCAGGCCCTAAGAAAAAACAATGAACTTCATTTTTAATTGGGAAAAACTACTAAATTATGAAGATTCTGATAATACTATAGTTTGGAGCTTTAAAACCTTATTCTGGTACATGTAATTGCTTTGATGTCTGAATAAGAGCACCCTCTAGTGGACTAATTGCCTTGATCCTTGATCCTTTAGGTTCTCCCAAGTAAGATGTAATCCAGTGATTATAGGTTAGCAAGGTTTTATCATTCATAAGTTACACATAAAAATGAATGGAATTCATTTTTAAGCACTTTATTGCATTTTCTTTATTGTAAGTAAGAATAAAAACAATGAAACACTATATGATTTATGAGGTACTTAATATTTTAAAATATTTTTAAATAAGAATTTTCCTTTTATTTTCATACACCCTTTCCATGTACCCTGACCTCTTCCACAAAGGATTTTAAGGCTGCTTACAAAACAACACACAATGAAGAAATTATAAAATGTAGACAGAAGTAAGAAATTAAAACCAAAACAAAAGGACATAATTGTGTCTTTTTTTTTTTAACTTAAGGTATAGTCAGTTGGAGATGGTTAAAAAATTATTTCAGTTTTAAAAATTTTGAAAGCAGATATTAACATCACTTATGGTTGCTTACACAAACTTACACAAACTCTTATACAAACTGTACAAACTCTTATACAAACTTATACAAACTCTTATACAAACTCTACAAACTCTTAGTCCATTCATGTGGCTGTAACAAAATGCCATAGATTGGGTGGCTTATAAACAACAAAAACTTACTTCTAAGTTCTGAAGGTGGGAAAGTCCCAGATAAAGGTGCCAGCGTGGTTGTGTTCTGGTGAAGGGCCTCTTCCTGATTCACATGCACTGCCTTCTTGTGTCCTCACATGGTAGAAGGGTTGAGAAGTCTCTTTGGCATCTCTTTTATAAGAACACTAATCCCATTCATGAGGGCTCCACCTTCATAACCTAAGAACCTCCCAAAGGGCCCACTTCCTGAGATCATCACACTGGGCATTAGGATTTCAACATACGCATTTCGGTGGTGGGGGCACACACATTCAGACCATAGCACAAACCTTCAGCAGTTACCTCTGTGCATTATCTGTTGCAGGGTTACACCAGTTTTTAGTTATAAAATCTAAAATGTAGTTGAAGGAAACCGAGCACTGATGTGAAATAGCTATATGGTGTTATTTAGTAGTGCTTCCTGGTGGCTCAGATGGCAACGAATTTGCCTGCTATGCAAGGGACCCAGGTTCAGTCCTTGGGTTGAGAAGATCCCCTGGAGAAGTGAATGGCTACCCACTCCAGTATTCTTGCCTGGAGAATTCCATAGACAGAGAAGCCTAGCCGGGCTACAGTCCACTTGAATATTTGGAGAATGTTTACCAATGAACATTACTTTTTTTAAAACACATATATACATTCTTTGTAATATTTTTTTTCCATTGTAGTTTCTCATAGGATATTGAAATAGTTCCCTGTGCTATACAGTAGGACCTTGGTTTTCTTTTGTCTGAATGTAATAATTTTGTGTCTAACAACCCCAAACTCCCAGTCAATCCTGTCCCTCCCCTCTACCCCCCAAACATTACTTTTGTCTTATGATGCTTTCTGAAAAAGAGGGAATAGGATCAGTGATTCATTTAGATAATTTCTGGTTTGAAAAGTAAAATCACTTGGTAGGAGGAAAGGTTTTTTTTTTTCTGTTTTTTATTTCAGAAGAATTTATAATCATATCAAATGTTACATATTACAGTTGCCCCTTGAACAGCATAGCAGAATTAGGGGCTCCAACCCCTTTGCAGCTGAAAATCCTCGTGTAAGTCTATAGTTGGCCTTCTATATCTGCAGTTCCTCCACATCTGGGGATACAACCAACCTAGTATCATATAGTAGTGTAGTAGGTATTTATTGAAAATAACCCAAGTGGATCCACACAGTTCAAACCCATATTGTTCAAGGGTTAACTGTATTGAGATTTGATTTTCCTTGTTAGTAGGTACAAGTAGTCAAGTTTCTTCCTTAAGGAAACCGGAAGAGGATGATATGGCTTTCTTTGAAAGACGATACCAGGAGAGGGTAAGTCTGTTGGAAAATCTGCTTACATTAAGCATTTACTTGTAACAGAGACACTGTAGGACAATTATATATTGATTGTGGATCATCATTAAAATCTTTACTTATAGCTGGTGTTAGGCCTTGAGGCTTATTTAGAATAATTCAGAGAGAAACAGGACTGCTAAAAATGATATTAATGGCCCACATAACCACAATGGTGTGATCAGTCACCTAGAGCCAGACATCCTGGAATGAGAAATCAAGTGGGTCTTAGGAAGCATCACTATAAACAAAGCTAGTGGCAGTGATGGAATTCCAGCTGAACTATTTCAGATACTAAAAGATGATGCTGTGAAAGTGCTGCACTCAGTATGCCAGCAAATTTGGAAAACTCAGCAGTGGCCACAGGACTGGAAAAGGTCTGTTTTCATTTCAATCCCAAAGAAGGGCAATGCCAAAGAATGTTTAAACTACCGCAAAATTGCACTCATCTCACAGGCTAGCAAAGTAATGTTTAACATTTTCCAAGCTAGGCTTCAACAGTACTTGAATTAACTTCCAGATGTTTAAACTAGATTTAGAAAAGACAGAGGAACTAGAGATCAAATTGCCAACATCTGTTGGATCATAGAAAAAGCAAGAGAATTCCAGAAAAAAATCTATTTCTGCTTCATTGACTATGCTAAAGCCTTTGACTGTGTGAATCACAACAAACTGGAAAATCCTTAAAGAGAATACCAAACCATCTTATTTGCCTGCTGAGAAATCTGTATGCAGGTTAAGAAGCAACATTAAGAACCAGACATGGAACAATGGACTGGTTCCAAACTGGGAAAGGAGTATGTCAAGGCTGTATTTTGTCACCTTGTTTATTTAACTTATATGCAGAGTACATCATGTGAAATGCTGGACTGGATGAAGCATAAGCTGGAATCAAGATTTCCAGAAATATCATAACCTCAGATATGCAGATGACACCACCCTTATGGCAGAAAGCAAAGAGGAACTAAAGAGCCTCTTGTTGAAAGTGAAAGAGGAGTGAAAAAGCTGACTTAAACCTCAACATTAAAAAAAAAAAAATTTTTAATTAAGTAGCAAGTATCCTTTTTTATCTGACTTTATATCAGAATCTGTTTTGTCCTGACATGGAAGTTTCTGAGGGCTACTTCTAGGTAAAAATAAACACACTAAAATGTACAAATAATTCCAATTATGGAAAGACATTAAGCATATATATCTAGACAGCATATTAAAAAACAGAGACATCACTTTGCCAACAAAGGATAGTCTAGTCAAAGCTATGGTTTTTCCAGTAGTCATATATGGATGTGAGAATTGGACTGTAAAGAAGGCTGAGCACTGAAGAATTGATGCTTTTGAACTGTGGTGTTGGAGAGTCCCTTGGACTGAAGGGAGATTAAACCAGTCAATCCTAAAGGAAATCAGTCCTGAATATTCATTGGAAGGACTGATGCTGAAGCTGAAACTCCAATACTTTGGCCACCTGATGTGAAGAACTGACTCACTGGAAAAGATCCCAATGCTGGGAAAGATTGAAGGCAGGGGGAGAAGAGGACAACAGAGGATGAGATGGTTGGATGGCATCACCGACTTGATGGACTTGAGTTTGAGCAAGCTTCAGGAGTTGGTGATGGACAGGGAAGCCTGGCGTGCTGCAGTCCATGGGGTTGGCAAAGACTCAGACAGGACTGAGTGACTGAACTGAACTGAACTGAAATGAGATATTCAGTGAACCAGTGAAGTTGCTCAGTTGTGTCCGACTCTTTGCGACCCCATGGACTGTAGCCTACCAGGCTCCTCCGTCCAAAGGATTTCCCAGGCAAGAGTACTGGAGTGGGTTGCCATATCCTTCTTCAGGGGATCTTCCTGACCCAGCGATCGAACCTGTGTCTCCTGCATTACAGGCGGATGCTTTACTGTCTGAGCCACTGGGGATGCCCATATATATATAATATATATTATATATATATAATAATACATTTTATATATCTTAATAATATAATTATAAAATATATTTTATATATAAATAATATAATTATAAAATACATATTATTAATATATAACATAAAATATATTATTATATATATTATATATATATATGGGCATCCCCGGTGGCTCAGCAGTAAAGAATCCACCTGCCAATGAGGGAGACATAGCTTCCATCCCTGGGTCGGGAAGATCCCCTTCAGAAGGAAATGGCAACCCACTCCAGTATTCTTGTCTGGGAAATCCTTTGGATGGAGGAGCCTGGCAGGCTACAGTCCATGGGGTCACAGAGAGTATATACCTCATTGGGCAGCACAGAAAGTTCTTTTGGAAAATGCTGATCTAAGAAAAAGAAGTGGTGGTAGAATCTCAGGGGGAAAGATGAAATGGTCAGAGTGAGAAAAGGAGAGACTATTATTGCAGCATCATCAAGGATAAACTTTTAATCAAATCAGTGTTCTTGGAAAACACACAGTCACAACTGAGCTTTAGTGTTTCCTCATAAGCTTATGAGGGGCAGGGTTCTAAATTCCTTCTTTCCCTCCTCCAGGAACTTGGGTAGTGTTGACTGCGTTGAAAACATGTGAATGGTATTTGCTTGTGGCAAGGTAAATGGAGTTCTTATCTGTGAATGTTTTAGGGGATATCCCTGGCCCGTCCAGACCTAGAATTTATGGATTTATTAGTTGTGGTTTTATTATAACTCTTGAGCCTGTGTGAGGAATGGAGTGTAAAAACTAAGAAACTCAAACCTCACAGTTTTCTCTCAGGTGACCTGTACCATTCACATCATTAGTGCTTGTCTTATACTCCAAAAAACTGAAGACAAGCACCATTGAGGGAAAAAGACAATTAGGAAGCTGAATCTGATGGGTTCAGGGCCACCTTTAGAAAGCAGTAACATCCAAATCTGGTTTTGCTTTTTGCTAATTGGTATCACTGGGTATGGGGAAGTTGGTTTTGATAATTGAAGCTTTGGTGGTAACATAGCTTACTAACTGCGTCTACATCTTCTGAAGAGCTGCTTCTTAGCTTGTTTTATCTATCAGGTCAACTTGTTTTCTTCCATTGTGGATGACCTTTGGTCTCTTTTCCCTATAAAAGGAGAATTGTATTAAGGAAACAATTACTAAAGGTCAGCTAGGTGCAAGATACTGTGTTAATGCCAGGAACTTTTTTAAAAGGGAGCCAAAAGAGGTGTTTTGCTCTTTGGACACTGTATTAGGAGGATGTATTTGCTAGGTGGACTTCCCAGGGAGCTCACTAGTAAAGAATCTGCCTGACAGTGCAGAAGATGCAGGAGACCTGGGTTCAGTCCTTGGGTTGAAAAGATCCCCTGGAGAAGGAGATGGCAGCCTGCTCCAATATTCTTGCCTGGAAACTTCCATGAATGGAGGAGGCTGGCAGGCTGTACAGTCCACAAGGTCCCAAAGATTCAGACACAACTGAGCACACACACACACATTTGCTAAGTACCGTTTGAAATAAGCAAACACTGCTTTGGCTTTTGTTTGTATGTTTAGCATCTTTGATCTTTTTGATATTGTGTGAAAGTGTTAGTTACTCAGTCATGTTTGACTCTGTGTGATCTCATGGATTGTCTCCTCTGACCATGGAATTCTCCAGGCAAAAATACTGAAGTGGGTAGCCATTCCATTCTCCGGGGGATATTCCCGGCCCAGGAATCGAACCCAGGTCTCCTGTATTGCAGGCAGACTCTTTACCATCTGAGCCAACAGGGAAGCGCTTTTTGATGTTACTACAAATCTAACATTTGACCCTAAATGAGAGGGGTGAATGAGTGAGTGAAAGTTGCTCAGTCATGTCTGACTTTTTGTAACCCCACAGACACCACAGTCCATGGAGTTCTCCAGGCTAGAATATTGGAGTGGGTAGCCTTTCCCTTCTCCTGGGTATCTTCCCACCCCAGGGATCAAACCCAGGTCTCCTACATTGCAGGCAGATTCTTTACCAGCTGAGCAACAAGGGAAGCCCAAGAATACTGGAGTGGGTAGCCATCCCTTCTCCAGCAGATCTTCCCTACCCAGGAATTGAACTGGGGTCTACTGCATTACAGATGGATTCTAGCATTTATTGAGTGCTTATTAAGTACCTAGATTTATATATATATAATCTTATTTAAACCTTTGGAACAACCCCTTACATAGTACCTATTACTATGTCTTTTCTACAAATTACAAAACTGTTAGCTAAATAACTTGCCTTAGGTGGTTAATCACTACTTAAGGGACTTCCCTATAGCTCTGATGGTAAAGAATCTGCCTGCAATGCAGAAGACTCAGGTTCAACGCATGGATCAGGACGATCCCTTAAAGAAGGAGATGGCAACCCACTCCAATATTCTTGCCTGGAAAATTCCATGGAAAGAAGAGCCTGGCAGGCTACAGTCCATGGGGTTGCAAAGAGTCGGACACAACTAAGCGACTGACACACACAGAGAATTCAAGTACTTTTCTGTCTGATTCTAAGGCTTATAATCTTTGTCTTAGAATGGAGTGTTCTTTGAGGGACCTACGGATAGCCTGTTGACTACTGGTACAGAATATAAGTGTGATATGAGTGTACAATATTTATTTTTCGTTGTGCTGTGCGGCATGCAGGATTTTAGTTCTCTGACGAGGGGTTGAACCTGTGTCATCTGCAGTGGAAATGTGGAGTCTTAACCACTAGACCACCAGAGAAGTCCTGACTGTATGTATAAATGAGGTTCCCAACCAACTGAAAGAGGAGAGAGAAAGGGGAAAAAATGGGAAAGAGACAGAGATAGGAGTCATTCAATTTTATAATTAGGAAGTTATTTGTAAGTTGGTGAGATCAGGTAGACTGATTTTACTAGATCTCTTCTGCTTTCTTGGTATTATTGCTGTCACATTAGAAGATAAGAGGCCTCCCTCCACCCACCCAGCCCCATAATTTCTCTTCCCTTCTCCTGCAGGGGTAAGGCAGTAGTGTTGCCTATGGGAATTGGTGTATGTGAGTGTGAGTAGCAGTAAGAGGAAGATGCGTTTTGTGTTCTTTGGAGTCTTCCCCCGCCCCAGGAAAGACTGTGTGTATCTAAAAGATCAGCTTAGGGTATGCAAGCTTCTTCTTTGTTTCAGTTACAATGGAGAAAGACAACCTTCTGAAAGGTAACTTTTGAAATGCTGAAATCAGAATTGTAGGAATCTGTCCTTTAAGCAGTATGTGTTCCAGGGGTAATCCAACTGGATTAGGTGTCTCCTGTGATGCTGGAGGGAATGTGCACAGGCTGGATGTAAAGTTAGGCATTCAAGCTTTTTTTTTTCTAATTTTAGAGGTAATTAAAAATAATCATTTCTCCAAATCAATATTCATTATATCTTATGTTGTTAAAATGCTTTGGTAAAGTTGAAATCAAACCATGCTTGATTGTTTGTAATTAGAAAATTTTCTCAGTCTTTGACAATGTTTCACACACACACACACACAGAGCCCTTGCTAGGACCCCTCTCTGCAGGGTTCTTGCTTTTGTGCTCATAGTGTGAGTCCTCTGTTCAGTCAACACTCCTCAAGTCTCTTGTGTGCTGAGCTCTGTGTGTGTATATGTTTCTGTGTGTGTGTGTGAGTGAGACTCTGCCTCTTCCCCTCAATCTGGCCCACTGTCTCTGTCTCTAAGGCATTGCTGATGTCTGCCCTTGCTCTGAGAGAGAAGAGAAGAAAAAGAGGAGCAAGAGGGATTGGGAGCTTGCATACCCCAACAAACCATATTTTAAAAATGCAGTTAGGTCCCTTCAACAATCAGGTTGTGGCTTCAGTATTCAGCAGCATAAGAACTGCTAAATAACTGTGTAAAATGGCTGTGATAAATAAGACATGAATCCAAATGAGGTATGTACCACATTTTTTTAATTTTTAGGATGTTTTACAAATTATTATATCAACAAATATTTTAAATTTTCAGATAAAAATGGAAAAGGCTGCTAAGCAGAAAGGAAAAGCACCACTGCCATCAAATATGAAACCTTCATGAATGCTACTGGGGAAATTAAAACCAGCATCCAAATATGTCTTTTGTGTGTTAATTATTTAAACATAATAATACAGTTTATTTTTCCTCAAACTACTTACATATTTTCTATGTAAAAAGGTCTTTTGAATGTTTCCTTATTCATACGTGACAGTACCTTATGTTACTTTTGCCAAAATTTATGATTTATTACTTTATATAAACTTTTTTCTCTCTCCTAACAAATGAGGCTATTTTCATGTTAGTCAAAACCTTAAAGTACAGTAGCTATTTTGAGTTTATAATAATTTAACCTTTTCAGGCTACTTAAAAATTTTAAGATGTTACTGAGGGTTTGAACAAACATTTCATTCAAAATAGTTAAATTAAAATCCTTAGTTTTTTTATTTTCTAAACTTTGTAATGTTGATTTGTTTTAAAATAAAAACTTTTAAAATTATGTAATTATTTTCTAGTGGTATCTGATGATTTTTAGGTTGTTTTGTTAATATGAGGGGCTTTCCTGATGAGTCAGATGGTAAAGAATATGCCTGCAATGCAGAACACATGGGTTCGATCCCTGGTTTGGAAAGATCCCCTGGAGGAAGGCATGGTAACCCACTCCAGTATTCTTGCCTGGAGATCCCATGGACAGAGGAGCCTGGTGGGCTACAGTCCATAGGGTTGCAAAGAGTCGGACACAACTGAGCAACTTAACTGGTTCATAGAGCTGCAAAGAGTTGTACATGACTGAAGTGACTTAGTAAGCATGCAAATTAACTATAAATTATTGATAATTGTATTGACACCTCCTGGTGCCATTTCAAATTTTCTTGGTCCCCCCTCTAGCCCCAGTACTGCTGTGAAACACTTCCAAGCAGGCTTCTGACAGCTTCACATAGAAGTTGTTTGATGGCACTCTGTCTTGGGACCATGCCCATTACTCTCTTGTGGTATTATCTAAAGATCCTCTGACACTGTAGCTTGGGATGCTCACTGGAACCCCTCTGCATCATACATGTTAGTGCACGTGGAACATTTGCTATGACTGACTACATTCTATACCATAAAACAAGTCACAGTACTTTTTTAAGATTCAGATCATAAATTATGTCCTCTGACCACAATGTTGTTAAATTAGAAATCAGTAACAAAGATGTCCCAATATCTGGGACTTTGCCAAATATTTGAAAGTTATACAACATATGTCTTAATATCTCATGGGTTGAAGAAGAATTCAGAAAAAGAATCAAACCACTTAATGGAATGATAATGGAAATAAAAATATGTGTGATTCAGCTAAAGCAGTAGTTAGAGGGAAATTGATAGTGACAAATGCCGATACTGGAAAAGATTTCAAATCAGTGACCTCAGCTTTCACCTTAAGAAACTAGAGAAAGAAGATAAAATTAAAATTAAATAGGAAAAAGGAAATAATAAAGATCAGAGCAGAAGTAAAAAACAGAAAAGCAACAGAAACACGAATAAAACCAAATTCTGTTTAGTTTTTTTTTAAAAAATTGATAGACCTCTATTAATAGCTAGATTAATCAGCAAAGGATAAAAAGCACACAATTCACCATTAGGGACAAGAGTGGTGATGTTACTATAGTTTCTAGAATAGTAAAGGAACGTTATCAACAATTCATGCCAATGAATTTCACAGCTTAAATTCCTTAAAAGACACAAACTGTAAAGTTCATTCAATAATTAATAGATGACTAGCCATAGATTGATTATATGTTGAGTAGACTTGATCAATTAAACCGAATTTGTGGTTAGTAGCATGCCCACAAAGAAAATTCCAGGTCTGAATGGCTGCACTGTGAATTTTACCAAATATTTAAGGAACAAAGATTACTAATTCTATGCAAACTTTTCCAGAAAATTGAAGTTAGTAGTTTTTACAGCTCATTCTATGTGGTCAGTATTGCTCTGATAACCAAACCAGGCAAAGACATTACAAGAAAGGAAAATTTCAGACTTATATCCCTCTTGAACATAGATGCAAAAATACTTAATATTTTAGCAAATCTAATACAAGAATATATAAAAGGATAATACATCATGACCAAGTTTTATGGAAGGGTTGCAAGTTTGGTTTAACATTTGAAAATTAGCCAGTATAATTTATCAAGCCCAAATTTATCATTTGGGCTTTCCTGGTGGCTCAGTGGTTAAGAATCTGCCTGCCAATGCATGAGAGGAGGGTTTGATTTCCGTGTGGGGGAAGATGCTCTGGACAAAGAAATGTCAATCCACTCCACTATTCTTGCCCAGGAAATCCCATGGACAGAAGAGTCTGGTGGGCTACAGTCCATAGGGTCCCAAAAGAGTAGGACACAACTTGGTGACAATAACTTATTATATAAACAAATTAAAAAGAACCACATGATTATTATCACAGATGTGGGAGTATTTGATAAAACTGAAGACATATTCATAAAAACTCCCAGCAGACTAAAAATAGAAGGTAATTTCTTCAACTGGTAAATGGTATCTGCTAAAACTCTACAGCCAGTATCAATGGAAAGAAAGGCAATGCCAAGAGTGTTCAAACTACCACACAATTGCACTCATCTCACACATGAGTAATGTAATGGTAAAGTAATGCTCAAAATTCTCTAAGCCAGTCTTCAACAATACATGAAACGTGAACTTCCAGATGTTCAAGCTGGTTTTAGAAAAGGCAGAGGAACCAGGGATCAAATTGCCAACATCTGCTGGATCATCAAAAAAGCAAGAGAATTCCAGAAAAACATCCATTTCTGCTTTATTGATTATGCCAAAGCCTTTCACTGTGTGGATCAAAATAAACTGTAGACAATTCTGAAAGAGATGGGAATTCCAGACCACCTGACCTGCCTCTTGAGAAATCTGTATGCAGGTCAGGAAGCAACAGTTAGACTGGACATGGACCAACAGACGGGTTCCAAATCGGGAAAGGAGTATGTCAAGGCTGTATATTGTCACCCTGCTTATTTAACTTATATGCAGAGTACATCATGAGAAACACTGGGCTGGAATCAAGACTGCTGGGAGAAATATCAATAACCTCAGATATGCAGATGACACCACCTTTATGGGAAAAAGTGAAGAAGAACTAAAAAGCCCCTTGATGAAAGTGAAAGAGGAGAATGAAAAAGTTGGCTTAAAGCTCAACACTCAGAAACAAAGGTCATAGCATCCGGTCCCAATACTTCACGGCAAATAGATGGGGAAACAGTGGAAATAGCGAAAGACTATTTTGGGGGACTCCAAAATCACTGCAGATGGTGACTGCAGCCATGAAATTAGAAGACACCTATTCCTTGGAAGGAAAGTTATGACCAACCTAGACAGCATATTAAAAAGCAGAGACATTACTTTGCCAGCAAAGGTCCGTTTAGTTAAGGCTATGGTTTTTCCATAGTCAGGTCTGGATGTGAGAGCTGGACTATTTAAAGAAAGCTGAGCGCTGAAGAATTGATGCTTTTGAACTGTGGTGTTGGAGAAGACTTTTGAGATTCCCTTGAACTGCAAAGAGATCCAACCCGTCCATCCTAAAGAAGATCAGTCCTGGGTGTTCATTGGAAGGACTGATGTTGAAGCTGAAACTCCAATACTTTGGCCACCTGGTAGGAAGAACTGACTCATTTGAAGACCCTGATGCTGGGAAAGATTGAAGGCAGGAGGAGAAGGGGACGGCAGAGGATAGATAGTTGGATGGCATCACCAACTCAATGGACATGAGTTTGGGTAAACTCTGGGAGCTGGTGATGGACAGGAAGGCCTGGCATGCTGCAGTCCGTAGAGTCAAAGAGTCGGACATGACTGAGAGACTGGACTGAACTGAATACAGAGTAAGGAACTATTGATACATGTGACAAAAATGGGTGAATCTCTAAATAATTATGTTGAATGAAAGAAAACAGAATGGACACACTGTATGATTTGGTTAACATGAAATTCTAGAAAATCCAAACTGGTGACAGAAAGCATAATCTGTTACTTAGACAGGAACCAACGACCATAAAGGGACATGAAGAAACTTCCGAGGGCCGTGGCGGGGAAGGAGGGCGTGGGGGGGTTGTGAAGGAAATGACTGTCCTTCTCATTGTGAGGTTAATTTCAACAGAGCATACATATGTTCTGTCATCAACATGTGTACTTTACTACTGTATTATTGTACATAATACTTCAAACTGGCAAAAATTAGTGAAGATAATTTTCAACTGTTGTGCAAGGTTTGCCACAAAGTGTAACATCTGCTCATAACCAGATAAGCTGTATTGATTCCCCCCCCACCCACCCCCCTTAATGTGAAAAACGCTGCAACACGAGCGAGAGCTGACCCTAGGCTGGACTGAGAAATGCTTGTAAAGCTACTAACCTGAACATCGTGCTTTCATTGTACTAAAGTCATTTTCTCCTTTCTACCTTGTAAGGAAAAAAAAAATGCTGGGATTCTTCCGACTTGGCTATTTAAAAATTTTAAGCAACATGTACAAATTACGAAAGGACTAAAAAATCCACACCACTATCTCACGTCACCGTTTGAAGTTTTGCTGAACGAGGCGGCCATTAGTCCACAGGTGCTGGGAATGCCGTCATATAAATCCTGTGCGCAGACTCCGTGCGCTGCTCGCAGAGCGCATGTCCCCAGCCGGCACGCCCCGCCCTAGGCCGCAGCCCTTGATGCTCACGTGAGCGAGGCAGTTGAGCAAAGGCAGGATGTTGGCACAGCAACGAGCGCGCAAGTGCCGTTTGGAGACCCAGTGGCCCAAACACGTGAGGTAAGTCTCCACGTTTGCTGCGGCGGGGAGAGAGCTGACGGCCCAGCATGTGGGGCCTGGGGCATTCTTCTAGAACTTCTGTGGCAGGAAGTGCGAGGTCAGTAGCAGTCCTTTTCGTGGGTTCGGTGGTGGTAGCACTATATTTTCACACTAGGTTGTCTTTTAGGTCCACAAGTATGGGCGTGGCCGTTTCCTGGCCTTTTTGGTTTCCAAGCTGCCCGCTTGCATCTGGGGGTGACAGTCACCCCA